AAGGAAAGAAAAGTCACCTTCTCGTCATTATCATTCTTCTTACACCTCCCACTGTTCTCAACCAACGTAACAGGAAGAGCAAAATTCTGAAAATATTAATTATGCAGATCAGTAAAGATCGTGAGAAATGAGAAAAAAATCATTACTGAAAACTGATACCCAGTGTTTCACAAATCACTAGGCAGTTCTATGTTCTTTTCCTTATTGAAAGTAAGTAATGCTTTGTTTCTCTGGAATATGTCGTCTATGGGCAGAAAACAATTAGTAAAGCTCGACACAAACAAGAATGGCTAGGATATAATAAATGCACTATTTGTTAAACTATCATGGATCAGATGAGTGTTGGATTTGACCGGAACAATGTTGTCCAATTACTTTATCCATCATACTTTATAGTTCTGTAATGCAAGAATATTTAAAAAGTTATCTATTTTAAAGCCACAGCCTAAACTCTTGATACACACACTAATGTATAATTTGAAAATATACTTAAGCAGTTAGTTTGATAGATTTTCGCCACAAAAATAACAAATACAAAGAAATTGTGAGTTTAAGGGGAATACACAACGGTTTATACCTGAAGCTCCATTCTGCTTATCCGAGCTCCTAGCCGGATGCATTTCAAAAGGGAGTCGGATCGTTTGGAGAAGAAGTCCTCATAACTCAAAGCATCAGGCGGTACAAGCTGAGCATGTGTAAGTACAACCACTGCTTTATGCCATATCTCCTTTCCAAAGCTATCTGTAATAGCTTTCACAATCTGCATGTCCATGTTGTCCACTCTGTACGCATCCAGACGGTCCACATAAAGCAGAACATCTATGGTCTTATTCAGAAGGAACCTGCCCAGGGAGCTACAAAAAAATTCATCAAAAATAACAACAACTCTGTTTTTCGCTCAAACTGTAAACCAAATAAAGCCTTACGGTTGTTTTAATTCAGTTGGGCTGTTTGGTAAAAGACTAATCGGCTAGACTAGTAAACACATAATAAAACGTTTAAAAATGTTGGAATCCTTAGAAATCAAGATTAATGCTCAGCTCGAGTGAAGCTCGTCCAATCTCAACTCGATTGAATTATCTTACAAATTCAAACAAAATTTTTGAAACTTGATAAAAAAATTAATTAATTTGAACATGGATATGATGGACACTACTCCATTGTCTACAGCTCTATCGAGAATCTTTGCTATATATACGTGTGTGTGTGTGTGTGAATGAAAATAACCACTCAAACCTTTTTATTGTCTCGAGGACCTGGTCACTAACATATCCTCCTTCAACAAGCCCTGGCGTGTCGATAATGTTAAGTGTAAAATCCGATCGAGATCGCGAAACCATCACTGGCCTTGGAGTTTCAGACTGAAACAACAATGAACGTTATAATTGAAAATCACTTCATCCATAAAACAACACCTGAAAATGAATAAGTTAATCAAAATTCATCTCAAAACAATAATCAGAGTGTGGTACCTGGAAAGCACTGACAGTTACTACTCGTTCCCCAATAATCGAATTAATGGTGGAAGACTTTCCAACACCACCTTTCCCCATCACGAGGATTGTCAAAGTGTTAACATTCTAGAGAAAACAATAAACAATATATGGGCCGAAATTTAGATATCATTACAAGGCATGAACATCTAATCAACTTTAATCACAAAGATATTTTTCAGTTAAGATTACAACGCATTTTCATGTTTTCTTTTTTTTTCCTTTTTGGCATAAGGATCTTCTCTCATACTTTTGATTTATTTTACCATAATTAAATAATGCAATGTGAAAGGCATAGTTGAGAGAAATTTTAGAAACCTCATTCTTCAATTTTCCCAGTAAGTCAACCAATTTCTCCTGAGTGGCAGCCGGAAACTGGTGAATTGCAGTCCATTCTTTTATCAGCTGACACGCCATGTCTCTGCTCACCGCAGAAAGGAAATTTTCACAAAATTCAAATATACCCCACGCACGCACACACACACACACACACACACACACACACACACAGAGAGAGAGAGAGAGAAATTAATAGGAAGAACCCTAGAACAACAAAAGGGCAAGAATTGAACAAATTGCAAAATAGTAAAAGGAAACAGCAAATAACGAGGCAGCGAGCAGCAGTTAAGGCTAAAAAGTAAACAGAGGCGGCTTACACAAAATCTGTCGCCTGGAGTTTTAACAGCGTCTGCTTGTACAACAAATCCAAAGCCCTAAAGTTAACGGAAATAGAAACTGGAGAAAAGTCGAGGGTTCAGGGGAAGGTAGAACCTCTATAAAACCTTATCTTTCACTCTACTGTCTCGGCCCTCTCTCTCTCCAAATTTGTCTCGTTTATCTACGAATTTTGCAAATGGTGACTCGTGAATCAGACATGGGGTTTTTTAAGGTTTTCTTTTTAATACCCACGGGTCATATATATTAAATGAGTCATTTTTATTGTGTTTATACGTTTAGACACACAAACAAAAGGGTTAATTGCTATATATTAAATGAGTCATTTTTATTGTATTTATACGTTTAGACACACAAACAAAAGGGTTAATTGCTATATAAACCTTGACTTTTTAGCATTTGGCAATTTAATTCAAACCTTTGCATGATTGCAATATAATTTCTACATTGTCTTACTTTTACAAAACGAACCTAAAATTCGTCGGACATTAAAAAAATGCCAGTATGACCGGCCAATTTTATCCACGTCAGATTTTCTCTTGATGAGTATGAATTCATAAATTACATGGAATTTATGGAATTTGACTTTTTGAATCCCTTAAATCTACAATATCAATTCAATTTCAACTTTATTAGAAAATCATTCATATGAACCCTACATCTGCAGTTCGTTTGAAGACCACCGACATATGGCTGACCACCACCACCCCTCATCGGAGATACCGCCCACATTGTAGCAGTGATGGCACGTGTCCCGGTGCCTTCTTCACCGACGGATACCCATAACGTGGCGAAGTTGATGAAGGTGAAGAGGGAACAACGACCGGGATTTGATGCTTTAATGCGGCGACATTAATCGGAGAGCGGGAATTCATGGATCTGGAGGCACAATTTGATATGCCTCATTTGGGCTAGGAATGGCCGAGGGGATTCTTGTTAGGCCCCCTAGGATGGTGGTGGTGCCGTCGAACGACTCGCCGGAGAACTCCCTTGCGGAAAGCCTACGACTGTTTTTAATTATTTTACACAAAAATGGTTCGATAAATTGAAAAAAAATCATCAAACAACTGTTTTTAATTATTTTTTCACAAAAATGGTTCGGTTGGAAAAAAAATCATCAGTTTGATTTTTCTCTTTTCTATTTCTTTTTCTAATTAGATACGAAAATAAATCTGGTCCTAACTTGAAATTGTAGGAAGAGTAATTAATTGATTGAGGAAAATCGCATGAAATGAATTTGTTTTGTATCTGCTAATTAAGAAGATTCAATTCATTTGTACCAAATTAATTTTTAGGGTTTCAGTTTAATTTTTATTTTATTCAATTAAAAAAATATTCAAATAAAGTTTCAGGATTTAAACATCAAATTCAATAAATTCCACGTAATTTATGAATTCACATTCAGCAAGAGAGAATCTGACGTGGATAAAATTGGCCGGACACGCTGGCATTTTTTTAACGTCTGACAAATTTTAGGTTCATTTTGCAAAAGTAAGACAATGTAGAGATTATATTGCAATTATCAAAAGGTTTGGATTAAATTGTCAAACGCTAAAAGGTCAAGGTTTATATAGCAATTAACCCGAAACAAAAAGGTTCTATCATCAATTTTCTACATCTTTTAATCAGTTATGTTTATTTTAGCCAGAATGTTAACATGTTAATTAATATTGTATTTCACTATCACGTCATACTAATATAAATTTTATTTTAGAATATATATTCATAGATATAAGAAAAATTAAAAAAAAAAATACTTATTTTTGTTTAACATTTAATACTCAATTATTGATTTATTATAAAAATTATTGCCATATAAGGCCATTATTATTATTTATAGAAGTTAGAGAAGTGGTCTTCTCCTTATTAATTTATGTAAAATTTAAAATAAAATTTTGTGTATAAATGTTTGCAAAACGAAATTACAAAATAAACACACAAATGTTCTTTAGAATTCAATTTTCTCATAATAATTAGAAAAAATTGATTTAGCAATTGCCAAAAAATAAATCCTTTACATAATCAAGAGATTTTTTTAATTTTCATCCTAAGATTTTATAGTTTATTTAACATACTATGTAATAGAAATATATTTTACAAAAATTCATTATAGAAATTGATATTGGATATTATACCCAAAGGAGTAAACCGATCCGCTCAACCAGGTTAACAAGTCAAGCAAACCTAGAAGGACGGCTCGACTGAGCAGAATCAAATAGGGAGGTTGTGGTCAAACACCACAAGAGAAAGAGCCTAAGGATTATAAGGCAACTCATAGGGGGTTCTGGTACGAGAAGGATAGATCGGTCCCAGCTCCATGGAGGAGCTGGTCGAAGATCGACTTGTCGAACAATTGGTCATCATATTAACCAGATTACAGACTGAGAACAGTTCGGGTACTGACCTAGGCATGGTCGAGCACAAGAGCCTTCGAGGAGATTACAGATGAATCTTTACCCCATGGGAGGACATGTGGCGCGACTAGATTGGTCTATGATGATAACTGTCTCTGACACACGCACCCTATGTGTGTACGAACGGTCAAGCCGGGCAGCTTTGGGCAGCCAGCTCAGCTCAGCCGGGCAGCCTCTAGAAACAGGTACCTCACCTCTATATATAAGGGTGAGCTTTATGATTTGAGCACGATTTATCCATTTTTACTTTGGAGAATTGGGAAAAGCTTACACTGACTTAAGCATTGGAGACTCTTCACCGGAAAACTACTCTGGTGTGAGAGTTCTTTGCAGGTACTCGGTGTTCAACCGGCGAGGTGGTGGTTAGAGTTAGCTATTTTCAGCCGGTGGAGTGTTCGACGTTACAATTGGTGCCGTCTGTGGGACTTTTTCGTTCGAAAGGTTGTGTGCTGATGTTGTTTAAGCTCGGTGGCTATGGCGGACGGAATTCCCAGAATCAATTTGCAGCCGTCGTTCGATGAAGCTTGGACGACGATGAGGACGTTCGGAGTTGGCCCTCCTCCGGGCTTCTCCGGACCTTCGCTGACGCCGGTGACCCCAACACCTGCTCCCTCAAGGTTTGAGAGGTTCATTGGTGGTTCTAGTGGTTGAGGTGGGCTCGAGCCAGGTGTAGGAGGCTCGGGTGATGCAGGCGACGGCGATACCCACACTGTCGCAGCCAGATCCTGCTGGAGTTCAACCTTTAGGAGCGGTGGTGCAAATGGGTAGCACCACCGAGGGGAGAGGAACAGTGCCCTGGTCAATAGGTGGTGGCGATGACCAAGCAGGTGATGTAGCAGATTGTGGCTAATGCAACGACACAGGCGGTGCAGCAAGTGACGAACAACACCTCTCGTGCTGTAACGCGCCGACCACGGTGGTAAGAGCACAACGTGACACAGAGGAGGACGTGTCCAGCTAAGGAGGAGAAGGAGCCCCACGAGATCGAGAGATGGAGAGAATCGTTGAGTAGCTGCTTCAGCTGCAAGCCAAGGTGGATGGCGACCAGAGGGACGTGCTCGGGGACACCCGTTCTCGAGGGAGACTGGCAGCACCATTGTTGGTAAATTTCGTGGAGACGAGTTTGGTATTTGACCGGTCATCTGACCCGTCGAGACATGTGAGAACGTTCGAGATATGGCGATTTTGCACGGGTATTCTGACCCAGTCAATTGTAGGGCATTTTTTTTCGACCTTGAGGGAAGGCGCGCTCGAGTGGTTTCACCAACTCCCCCCATGGACGATTAAGGATTTTGAGGATTTTGATGAAAAATTGACGAACTAGTATTCGAGCGCGGTGGCCCAGAAGAAGACGTATTTGACTCTAATGGCGATGAGGCAGGAAGAGAAGGAGTCGTTGCGAAAGTATGTTGCTCGATACAATCAGACGTCCCGTCGGCCTTGGATGAGGTTAAGGTAGGAGGATTAATAAGGAGCCTACGAGCGGGGCCATGTCGAACTTGTCTGGCCAAACCCCCGCTCGTACATATGATGAGGTATTAAGGAGGTGTAAGAAGTATATTAACCTCGAGAAGACAGAAGCAAAGTTCACTAAGTTGGAGGATATGACTCGTCTAGAGGCAAAGAAGGGGAAGTCGAACTCGCCTATAAGAGGATCACCGAGGAGGGGATCGCCCAGGAGAGAGGGGCGTGGTTGACAGGATCGAGGATGCCAGGATAGGTGGAAGGATCGACCTATCGCTGGAGGCAAGAGGTTCCATAATTTCAGACCGTTAAATGCTAAGATGGAAGAGGTGCGGATGGCTATTGAGAAGAAGATAAATGACAAAAATGTGACATGACCTAGGTCGAGGTTCGAGGGTCCGACGCAACCGAAGTCGAGGAGGTATTGTTGATTTCATAAGGATTATAGTCATACAACGGAGGATTGTCGGCACCTTAAGGATGATATTGAACGACATATTCAGCAGGGCACCTCAAGGAGTTTGTCTATCAGGACAGAGTGAAGGGCAAAGAAAAAAAGAAGTGTCGGGAGGATTCTGTGGAGAGGAGTGATAGAGATGATGACAAGGAGGATGATGCTCGAGAGGAGCATGGTGGTCGAAGGGGCAATGGAGATAAGAGGAAACGTGGAAGTAGAGATCGACGAGGGTAGGGGGATGAAGGTCCCATGAAGAGAGGCACGATATACATTATTTCTAGCGGGCCAGCAGATGGAAACTCAAATAATGCGAGGAGGGAGCGCGTTCGAGTGGTGAAGCGGAAGAGAGAGGAGGTTGGTATTACCGCTCGATTGCCATTGATTAGTTTTTGAGCAGAGGATGCTAAAGAGGTGGTGCTACCCCACAATTATACGTTGGTGATCACGACAGAAGTAGCAGGGTTTTGATGTGAATAGGGTGTTCATTGATACGGGGAGTTCTCGATGTTATGTTCTATGACTGTTTCACACAAATTAACCGGGATTTGAATTTGGAGTTGAAGCCGGTCGTAACGGGTTTGTACGGTTCTAATGGTGGAGAAGTGATGCCTATGGGAGAGATTCTTATCTATTGCTCTAGGGTCGGGGGCGACGAGAAAAGTCAGGATGGTGCGATTCGTGGTTGTGGAAGTAGAATCTTATATAACACCATAATGAGGAGGACTAGCTTGAATGTTTTTCAGGTCGTGGTATCAACATACCACATGACGATCAAATATCCGGTGGGCAAAAACATTAGCGAGACTGCGGGAGACCAGCTTACCTCGAGGAGTTGTTACCAGATGACGGTGAGCAACAACAAACAATTGGCGAGGATATAGACGAAACCCAGTGAGGAGATGCCGAATCGACCTGGTAGTTCGAGGTCGAAGGAGGAGCAGACAAGGCTTGGTAAGGGAAAGGAAAAGGTGCAAATGCAGACAGTGGGAGAAGTAGGGGAGATTCAAATGGTAGTGGGTTATAGGGAGCGGAAGTTCAGGATCGGGAAAGAGGTGGAGGAGCCAATGAGATGGAGGCTAATTAAATTGGTAGGGGAATATATGGACATCTTTGCCTATACTGCAGAAGAATTGACAGGGATCGATGCGAAGATAATCGAGCACAAACTGAATATCGACCTTAGTGTGAGGCCGGTGAAGCAAAAGATGAGGCACTATGGGGGCGGAGATGGATAGAGTGATCGAGTAGGAGGTGGAGAAGTTGTTGAAGGCTGGGCATATTAAAGAGATTCAGCTCCCCGAATGGTTATCCAACATGGTGATGGTGTCAAAATCAGAGGGCAAGTGGAGGATGTGCATAGACTTTTGCGATTAAATAAGGCGTGCCCGAAGGACTTATACCCGTTGCCAAGGATCGACCAGTTGGTTGACTCTACTGCAAGATGCGAATTGCTCAGTCTAATGGATGCGTTGCAAGAATATCATCAGATTCCCCTGGCTCGAGAGGATATGAAGCAAGTGAGTTTGGTGACGAGAAAGAGTACATATTGCTATGTGGTGATGCCATTTGGCTTAAAGAATACGAGAGCAACGTATCAGAAGTTTCTCGATAAGATCTTTAAGGAGCAACTAGAGCGGAACATGGAAGTCTATGTTGATGATATGTTAGTAAAGAGCAGAGAGGAGGTCGATCACGTGAAGGACTTGAAGGAAACATTCTTGACACTAGGAGGTATGGTATGAAACTCAATCAAGCTAAATGCTCATTTGGTGTAAAGTCAGGGAAGTTGGGGTATGTGGTGACAAAGAGGGGGATTGAGGTAAACCCCGAGAAGGTTCGAGCAGTGGTGGAGATGAAGCCACCAACAAATGTTAAGGAGGTTCAAGTGCTGACTGGTCGAATTACAGACTTGAGTAGATTTATTTCTAAATTGGCTGAGAAGAGTGGGCCATTGTTCAAAACCTTAAAGAAGAGCTCAAAATTTAGTGACGCTCGAAGCCCAGAAGGCTTTCGAGGAGTTACAAGGAGTACTGGCCAACTTGCCTTTGTTAGCTAAACTTGTGCAGGGAGAAGATCTAGTGCTCTATATATCTATTAGAGAGAGGGCGGTGAGCTCAGTATTACTTCGGGAGAAATGAATGGCTCAGTTTCCAATCTACTACGTTAGTCGAGTGATGAAGAGGATAGAGTTGAGATATTCGGAGATCGAGAAGTGTGCTCTACCGGTGGTCGTAACAGTGAGGAATTTGAGGCCTTATTTCTTGAATCATAAGATGAAAGTGATGACGAGCATGCCTCAGGGAGAGTCACTGGGTCGACCCTCAGTGTCGGGTCGACTAGTCAAGTGGGAAGTCGAGTTGAGTGAATACTTGATTATGTATGAGCCGCAGAGGGAAATCAAGGCGCAAGTGTTAGCTAACTTTATTTAACAGGGAACAAAGTTAGAGGAGGAGTCAGAAGGAGTGTGGCAGTTGTTTGTGGATAACCCTAGATTGGGCATTGTCCTTATTTCGCCCAAACGAGACAGTTTGGAGTTTGCGACTAAAGTGGGGTTTCGGGTGTCCAACAATGAGGCTGAGTATGAAGCAATTATCAAGGGATTGTAGTTGGCAATAGCTGGAGGTGCTAGAAAAATTCAAGTACATTCGGACTCACAATTCGTTGTTGGACAATTTCAGAAGGATTTCAAGATGAAAGAGGACAGAATGCAGAAGTATGTGGATGAGACAAAAAAGTTGCATGAAGAATTCGAGTTGATGCAGATATCTGGAGGAGAAAATGGTCGAGCAGACTTGTTATCCAAAATCGCACAGAATCTGGTGGATTGCAAGAGTAGGAGTGCAACTCTATTACATATGGAGAAGAGCGTGGTCGAGGCCAAAGTAGCAGAGATTGAGGAGGTCGAAGGTTGGAGGTCCTTGATACTGAAGGAGTTGAGAGACGGTGTCGTGAAGGTAATGAGAAGGTTTTTCGAGCACGGGGGAATCTTGTACAAAAGGTCCTATGAAGGGCCACAATTGTGGTGTGTGACAAGAGAGGAGGGTCGATATGTGCTCAAGGAGGTGCACGAGGGGTGTTGTAGCGATCATAGCAAGGCAGGGGCCTTGGTGGCGAAGATATTGCGAGCAGGGTATTTTTTGCCGACGATGAAAGAGGATGCGAAGGGGATGGTGACAAAATGTTTCCAATGTTCGAAACATGGTCCACTTATCCATCAACATATAGATACAATGACGACGATGAGTGCCCCTATTCCATTTGCATAGTAAGGTATCAACATGGTGGCACCGATGCCACATGGAACAGGATAGAAAAAATTCTTAATCGTGGCAGTCGATTACTTTACAAAATGGGTGGAGGATGAACCCTTGGCCAAAACTACGGAGAAAAAAGTGATACACTTTTTATATAACAATATTTGTTCCAGGTTTGGAGTCCCAAAGGTGCTGGTGTACGACAATGGAACACAATTCAATGGCAAGCGGATTTGAGCATAGTGCGAGGACATGAAGATCGAACAGCGCTTTTTTGTCGGTAGCTCATCCACAAGCTAATGGACAAGTCGAGGTGACCAACAGAATCATACTGAACGGGCTGAATACTAGGCTGGAGAAGGCCTCGGGGGCGTGGGTCAATGAACTCTATAGCGCCCCATTCGTTGTAGATGATTTAGTCTACTTAAGATTTATTCGCTTCGCTTTATTTTAGGTGTTTCGCTCGGAAAAATCCTCGTTCGAGCTTCAGATGATTAATTTGAAATAATCTTCTTGCTAATCTTTCTAGTCGATTAAAATTTTGTAGACGTTATAGTCTAATTGAGTCTTTTCCAATTCTTGAACCTTCGTTCAAGCTTGTTAAGATGAATTGGATGGCTTCGTCTAATTAATCTAATAAGCCATTTAAATCTATTAGTTCTCGTCAATCATTAACCGTTCGCCTGTTGTCCTTCGTTTTATATTTTGCTCGTCGAATCATTAGGAAATTCGTCATTCAATCGCGTAGATTTATTTTTTAGCCGTTGTCGATTTTTTCTCAAACCTTGGACTTATGCCATTTTTGGCTTATTAATTCAGCCCTTTATATGTTGCATTTTTTTCCCAAGACCCTTGAGGAAAACCGGCCCGCCCCTATGAGGAAAATCGAACCGACCCTTAAGCATTTTGGCTCTACTCCTAATTTTTGAATTTCAAATTTCCCTGTTAAGTTAGGAAATAATTTTGGATTAGCTTATGGAGTCTTTGACCAGCCATTAATAACATCAATTAGTGCCAATTATATGCTCCCCATTATGGTATTTTTGGTATTGTTATTTTTGGTATTAAGATCACCTTGATTGTTTTGGTTTACTTAAGGAATTTTCTCATATATTCCTCCACACTTCACACGTTCTTCCTTCACTCAATTCAGACCAAAAAGGCTCTCCAGATCTCTAAAATTCTGAAATTTTCTCCTCTAAAACCTCTCAAACTTCGGCCTCAATGCTCTCGGTCATCCAAGCCATCAGCCATATGCACGAGCCCTCACGCCCCGCGGCCAGCCGAGACGTTCCGTGAGCAGCCCCACGACATTGACGCCACCATCTCGCGAGCAGCAAGAAACCCTCAGCCACGCCCAAGAGCCGACGTCTTAGCCTCTTTTTGTTTGCACCCATTTGAAGCTGAGGCCGAGCGTGAGCCGTCCAAGCATTGATCCGTCGATCTGGTCCAATCCCTTTGGCTTGTAGATTCCAAAAGCCGAGTAAATTATTTGATCCCCTCGTAAATTATTGATTCTTGGTGTTTTATTATAGATCCATAAGGTTGGAGATCCTCAAAGTTAAGATCTAGTGACATTTTCGAAGAAAATGTTTAGATCTTAAAGTTTTGAGTCCCCATGTGAGTACTGTGGAATTGGAACTCTCTAAGTACCTTTATTGTTGTGCAAACTGAGCCTCGTTTGGTTGAAGACGAGCCTTAGTTTAATTTCGAACCATCGTCCTGTCGTCGTTTAATCTTGTGTTGTTTGAGCCTTGAAAACCCTTTTTGAGACACTTGTATTGATTGTTATTTCATTGCTATTTTTACTCTCTAAAATGCAGTCGATGATTTCGAACTCCTCTGGTGAATTCAAGTTCAGTCTCTTAGGTTTCATCAACTTAAATCAGGTGTTTATCATTTTTATAATGAAAGTTATGGCCAAAGTTTGTTTACTGCGCGTCAGTTTTTCTAATCATTCGATGCTACCTGTTGTTTGTATTACTCGGATGTTTTTAACCTCTTCTAGTGACCGGATACTTTTATTGTCTTCTGATGATTTTTAGTTTTGCCTCTTGTGTTTCTAAGGACACAAAAATCATTTAATTATCAGATTTTTTATAAAATGTGACGTTTAAATTACAATCACTGCGCAAGCAGTTTTTCTGTAGAGTTGGCTGCAGCTTGTGGCGTAAGTTTGACCAGTTTTTATCTCTTTAACTTGCTCATTTGCATTCAAGGTCTTCACAAGAAATGTAGTCCTATTTCTTGACTTTCTGTATTTTCAAGAATCAGTCCACATGTTTCCTTTATCAAAAGTTATGTTCGTTATACGGGGACTGTAAGAACTATCCAATTTTCATCAACATGGTTTTGTGGTTTCACTCATCCATTTTCAAGTTGTTCGACCCATTTTTGAGCTGTTGACCTATTTTCATGCCGAATCCAAATTTTAGCCATTTTAAATATTTTTTCAAGTTTTTCCTCAAATCCGAGATTTCCAAACTCCACAAGATTCCACGAACTCCTTAATCAATAATTTTGATTAAGTGAGGAGTGTCGTAAATCTCTGAGATGTCAAGATAATATATTTATGAGGTATTATATTGATTAAATGTAGGTTCTAGAAGAGGTGAGCCTCATCGACCTACCTAGCTATTTGTGTGCTATTTTTCCTGTTTCGTTGAACGATTGGGTGTTGATAAACTTTACCATGTCGTTATTCTTTGTAATTGCTTGGCTTGATAATCAATGAATGCATGCGAACCACTAGTCTATGTGTTGCACCCACCGATGGGAAATTTCAGTGATTTATGGTGCTTTTAATCACCTATGGGCTTTGTCGGTGGTTAACTCTCTTGCTGATGGGTTATGTCGAGGGAGAGATGTGTACACATTAGCGTTGGGCCATGTAGGTGGTAACCTAGGTGATATGTGTTCATGCTGCGATTATGATTTTAAGTCATTATATTGGATATATTGCATGGTATTCTCACGGTGAGCTTGTTGTTTGCTCACCCCCATTACTATTATCTTTTCAGGTTGAATTGGTGGTCGTCGCGATGACGAGACAAGGGTGGTCTATCTCATTTTAAATAATATTTTATTTGCTTTCGCTTAACATTTTCGAAACTCGTGTAATGATTGTTTTTTAGACTTTTGAACTGGTGGAAAATTTTTATGTTTTGTTATATTGAGTATTGATGATTAAAGCCGTATGGGTGATGTTTTTATGTGTTTTGGAAAATGAAGATGTGATTAGAGAGAAGTCAAAATGACTAGTGAGTAATGCCCGTTAAATGATTTGAAATGAAAAATGTTTTTCAAAAATTTATTCTGTTTTTTTTTATAAAATAATTGGGATTTTACCTCTTAAAATGACGGGGCATTACAAACTCACTTTAGTACTTTGGGCATACAGGACCAACCTGAGGTCGACAACAGGAAAAACACAGTTCATTTTGGTCTATGGGATGGAGGTATTACTGCCGATCGAAGAAGAGTTGCAATCTCAGAGATTGAGCACTTATGATCGTGAGCAGAATGAAGAAATTATGATGGCAGCCCTTAACACAATCGAGAAGCTTCAAGAGCGGGCTTTGATCAGGGTCGAGGCGTATAAGTAGAGGATGCGAGCAGCGCATGACTGAAAAGTGAGGGTTCGGAGATTCCAAGTGGACAACTTAGACTGGAAAAGAGTCGACGTACTAAAACATGTTGGCAAGCTGGAACCGAACTGGAAACACCATACTTGGTCAAAAAAGTCCATGCTGGAAGAGCGTATTCATTAAAGGATGCCAAAGGGAGATCACTTGCAAGGTCATGGAATGTTGCTAATCTGAAGAAATATTATGTCTAATTTTCTTATTTTTCTCGAGGATTAACAAACATGATGTAATCGACATTTCTACTTGTGATTAATCAGACCACATTTTCAAGCTCTATAATTGTTGAGTTATTTATTTTGTTGGGAGTATTTCATATGATCTAAGTGGCAGGTCACTTGGGTGTAAAAATTCCTTCATGATTAAGGCCGTGAGGCTGGATGGTCACATGTATCGACCACCCCTTTGAGGGTGGGCATGTGTTCGAAAGACAAAATCCATCATGATTAAGGTCGTGTGGTTGGATTGTCGCATGTATCGACCACCCCTTTGAGGGTGGTAATGTGTTTGAAAGACAAAATCCATCATAATTAAGGTCATGAGACTAGATAGTCGCATGTATTGACCACCCTTCGAGGGTGGGCATGTGTTCGAAAGACAAAATCCATCATGATTAAGGTCGTGAGGCTGGATGGTCGCATGTATCGACCACCCCTTTGAGGGTGGGCATGTGTTTGAAAGACAAAATCCATCATGATTAAGGCCGTGAGGCTGGATGGTCGCATGTATCGACCACCCCTTTGAGGGTGGGCTTTTGTTCAAAAGACAAAATACATCATGATCGAGGTCGTGAGGTTGGATGGTCGCATGTATCGACCACCCCTTTGAGGGTGAGCATGTGTTTGAAAGACAAAATCCATCGTGATTAAGGCCGTGAGGCTGGATAGTCGCAAGTATCGACCACCCCTTTGATGGTGGGCATGTGTTCGAAAGAAAATCAATCATGATTAAGGTCGTGATGCTGGATGGTCACATTTATTGTTCACTCCTGAGGGTGGGCATGTGTTCGAAAGACAAAATCCATCAAGATTAAGGCTAGGAGGCTGGATGGTTGAATGTATCGACCACCCTTTGAAGGTGGGTATGTGATCGAAGTGGCAAAATCGGAATTAAACAATCCCTTAGCAGTCGGTCAATTTGCAAGGAAACTTGGAGAAAAGTGGGTGCTATCTTTCAAAGTAGAGTGACCTCAATAGAGGAGCAATTAAAAGGAGGTAATGTCGTTCATTATGGTGGATTATGGATCTAGTTAAAACTTTCATGGAATCATGGTTTTTGTGGAGTTATGGTCAATTCGACGTGAATGTTTTTATGAGTCAAAACATTTTTATGAAGAAGGAAATACGGGAAATAATCGTAACATACAGGCGTACAAGATCGAATCTTACAAAACACATGTTCAAAACAAAAGAAATCCATTCATCACAAAACATTGGAAATACATGGTATAAGTTTCAAATTTCAAAATAAATATAAATATTACCACATGTCTAAGGAACATTAGGAGTACTTTCAGCATGAGTATCGTGGTTTTGAGGAGTTTGTTCGGCGTTAGACTCGGACTCGAGTGCTTGTTCGACCTGATGGCTAGAGCCAGAAATTGATTCGATCGTATCAGACAACAGTCACAAACGAGTCGACTCAGCTATAGCACGGGATAAAGAGACAGGTAGAGCAAGGCCGTCGGGTAGATCAAAGTGTTTCTTCAAAGTGCCAGACCGAGCTAGAGTGAGCTCGAGGGTGCTCGACCACCAGGGATGATTGATTGGTAGGTCGGGATTGCCTTGGAAATCTTTAGGCACCTTGGGCATTATATATCAAATCTTTTCCACGTTGAGGTCACCCTTTAAGTCGCCTCAGCAACATGCTCGCCCGCCTTCTCCATGGAAAATTGGAAGTAGTCGGCGCCCAAGTCCTATACTGCTTTCAAAAATTGTGGTGACCTCAGGTAGTCGGCCACCACTTGTTCACAGAACTCTTGCAGAAACAGATGTCAGACCTTAGTATGCCATAACAACCGGCGAGCTCGGACGGCGGCGGCATTTGTTATTCGACTCTTCTTCTGAGCCTCTCGAGCAGTTTTTTCCGCCTCGAGCGCACGCTCGAGGGCTTGAACTTTCTCGGTGAGGGCCCTCCTCTTGACTATGTGCCGCTCTTAAAGATTGAACTGTTGCTGAGTGATCCGATTGTTGGTGTCCTGACGTACGGACAACTCTCTCTCAAGCTCATCAATGGATCGCCCAGAACCGGACATCACTTGATCGACCACTAGAACAAGCTCGATCAAGCTCTGTTATCGACACAAATAGGTATAAATAATGTAGAAAATTGAAGTATAGTAGGGAAAAGTATCAGGGTGAATTCTAAGTTTACCTGGGCCAACATATGGGTGATGCGTTCGCCTCAGGCTCGCAAGTTGGAGCTGCTATTCTGAAGATAGGCGGCGAGAAGGATGCCCTTGAAGTAGGACACAATTTCCTTCCCGCTAGCCCTTTCCAGGCAAGCACGCTTGTGGCTCTCCTCATCATCCACGAGGAGAGGACGCTTACCGAGAGAGACATAGAGAGCTCTCTCGGGCTGAGGAGAAGATTATTGTTCTTCGACCATGGGAATGGTCGACTGCTGCAGGGGTGTAGAGATGACGCCTTGTTGCTCGACCGGCAGAGAGAAGGGCCTATGATCCCCGGTCGATGCTGGGTTGGTTGCATGAGGAAGATTGCACCTCGAGCTCCTTCGAGGGGGGAGAATGAGTGCACCGGTAGTTGTCGAGCCAGGCGGAGGAGGAGCTGATTACTTTGTTTATTTCTTTTTTAGAGGAACTTTCCTCTTAGGTATGGAAATAGCGGGCATCTCTGCAATGAATCACAAGAAAAAGGTTAACACAGCAGTAAAACAATATATACTCGAGCACAATGATCGAACATTACCTAGATCGCCCTCTACTCGAATAGAATCGAGGGTTTTTTCAGTGGGAGGAGTTAAGGGTTTGTGTTGAGTATACCACATTATGTAAAAAGACTATTGTCTTTTAACAAGATATTTGAGGTGACAAGCTTGGAATTCCAAACGGCAAGGCGTTGAGGGGGTTTTGTGGAGGATTCTCTAGCTCAAAGGGGAGTTCTATAAGACAAGGCGTAGAAGACCAAGGATAGGAATCCTGAGGCTCGACATACACGAACTGCCATTTCCATTTCGGGCAGTTCGAGGAGGCATCGAAAATAAAGTGGGCATCGTTCTTACTTTTTAAGTGGAGCCCGTTGGCCTGTTTTGATGGCATATATCAATACAAAAAAAAAGTCCAGGTCGAATCGACCTATACGGACGTGAGAAAGGATGATAAAGGTAGTCAAGAAGTGAATGAAGTTCGGTGGAAGTTGATTCAAGGTCAAGCCGAACCAATCATATATATCGATCAGATCGGGACAAATAGAGAAGCGGACACCTAGATCGAACTGAATACGAAAAAAACAATCCTCGGAGGTATGGTCGAAAGTATCGCCTTTGCCAGGGCTATAGATAGTCCCAGCATGGCCAAACCTGTGAAGGTCGAGCCACAGGATACTAGTGGACTTAGACGAGGATTTTTTGGTCTTTGGGGCTTTAGAAGAAAGTGGTTTGGTCGAAGCATTGGTTTTGGGCGTTTTGGAGGAAGTAGGTGCAGTCAAAGACTTATTCATAGTAGTTTTGGAGCTTGGAGTTTGGTCGAGATTATCAGGTTGAGCGGGAGGACATCGTGGTCCTCCTCGAGAGCCGCGTCGACAACATCGTGAGCATCGAAGGGTAGTCGAGAGCGATGGTTAAGGGGAACGTGGTCAAGGACATCATCGTCTGGTTCATCAATCAGACGAAAAGGTTGGCAGAGAGAAGGAGACTCGAGATGAGTTTGGTCACGGAATACAGGTCGAATCACGTTGAGGGAAGTGGCTTGGTAGATCTCTTCAATGGAGTTGGAGGGAGAGTGAGGTCGTGGTTGAAGAGTCGGGGACGAAGAAAGAGAAGTCATATGTTTGCCGGAGTGGTGGTCGTTTTCACTGGAAGTAGCGGAATCTGAAAAAATAAAAGGAGAAGACGTTAAAAGAGAAGATCTTTCAGGGTTTATTGAGGAAGGAAGAAGGCGAAAAAGAGGGTTTTAGGTCGGCAAGGTGAACGAAAACTGGGGAGAGTTGAAAATCGAAAAAAATATATAAAAAACAAAAAAACACGAATTTAAGAGTGAGAGGACTTACTCGTTGTCGCGGTGGGAAAAAGTCGCCAGAAAACTTGAAGTTGCTGAAGGATTGGTTGCCAAAAGTAGAAAACTATATTTGCAGTGAATTAGGGCACAAGTGAATCCAAATTTTGGCGAAGGTGAGAAAACGTGAAAATTTCTAAGTATGGCTATTAATGGATCAATGTTGAGGCAAGTTGAAGGGTTGGAAAGATAGTCGTTGGATTAAAGGTGAAATCCAACGGCTTGGAGCATTACGAAACGCAAAGGGGCATAAATCGCGAGGAGACGTAATGATTGATGTAACTGACGGATAGGATAAGTGGCAGATCTGAATCCCACAATAGCGGTCGAAAGAAAATAGGGTCGAAGAACAAGAGAAAAACCACTAGGTAGTCAATATAAAGTGAAAAGTACAACAGTTAAGCGAAGGGACGAAATACTACTCTTAGATCAAGTCATTTAGACTCGACCAGAGTGGAGGGGACTAGATGATATGGGATATTATCCCCAAAGCAGAAAATCGACCCGCTCAACTGAATTAACAAGTCGAGCAAACAGAGCAGGATGGCTCAGCTGAGCAGAATCAAACATGGAGGTTGTGGTCGAACACCACAAGAGCAAGAGCCTCGGGACTATAAGACAACTCATAGGGGGTTCTGGTACGAGAAGCACAGATCGGTCCCAGCTCCATATAGGAGCTGGTTGAAGATCGACCTGTCGAACAATTGGTCATCGGATAGACCAGATTACAGACTGAGAAAAGTTCGGGGACTGACCTAGGCATGGCCGAGCACAAGAGCCTTCTAAGAGATTACAGAGGAATCTTTACCGGAGGACACATGGTGCGACTAGATTGGTCTATGATGATAACCGTCTATGACACACGCACACTATGTGTGTACGAACGGGCAAACCGAGAAGCTTTGGGCTGCCAGCTCAGCTCAGCCAAGCAGCCTCTAGAAATAGGTACCTCATCTTATATATAAGGGTGAGCTTTATGATTTGAGCACGATTTATCCATTCTTACTTTAGAGAATTGAGAAAAGCTTATACTGACTTAAGAATCAGAGGCTCTTCACCAGAAAACCCTCCGGTGTGAGAGTTCTTTGCAGGTACTCGACATTCAACCAGCGAGGTGGTGGTTCGAGTTAGCTATTTCCAGTTGATGGAGTGTTCGACGTTACCATTGGCGTCGTCTGTGGGACTTTCGTTTGAAAGATTGTGTGCTGAGGTTGTTTGAGCTCAGTGGCTATGGCGGACGGAATTCCCAGAATCAATTTGCAGTTGTCGTTTGATGAAGCTTGGACGACGACGAGCATGTTAGGAGTTGGCCCTCCTTCGGGCTTCTCCGGACCTTCAGAGACGTCAGTAACCCCCAACACCTGCTCCTCAAGGTTTGGGAGGTTCATTGGTGGTTCCAGTGGTTGAGATGGACCGAGCTAGGCGCAGGAGGCTCGGGCAACGCAGGCGACGGTGATACCTGCACCGTCGCAGTCAGATCCTGCTGGAGTTCAACCTTTAAGAGCGATGGTGCAAGTGGTAGCACCATCGAGGGGAGAGGAGGAGTGCCCTGGTCAACAGGTGGTGGCGATGACCAGGCAGGAGATGGAGCATATGGTTGCCAACGCAGCGGCACAGGCGGTGCTACAAGTGATAAACAACAACTCTCGTGCTGTAACCGCGCCGACCACAGTGGTAGAGCACAACGTGACATTGTGGTATGGTGGTTCATTTGAGCCAAAACCTTATACCAAGTATAGTGGAGGGTCTAAAATGATACTTGACTTTGTCAATTTGAGGACCAAGGTTGAGTCGACATTAAAAATAATGTCTCACAAATCCGGTGCTATTAAAAATATGAGGTATTTTATAATTCTCGGTTTGAGATTCAAGTTCTTGGGTGAGGATGGTGACATTAGAACTGGGGTTGTACATTAGAAAGCCAACGGACAAATGTCTGTGTATGTTAAAAATGAAGGTACATATATTCCTTCTACTTTGTCCATGGAGGGGATGGGTTTTGTTGGAATCAAATTTTGAGAGTTGTAGGGAGAGTGGTACTCATAAGGAAAGTGAGAAAGGTAATGGAGAGTCTGTTAGTAAGGTTGTAGATGTGAGCGTCAAAGAAAAATAAAATCAAATTGAATCTGAGTGTCAAGAAGAGGATGATGAGTTTCTAGATAGTGATTATCACTTCAGAGATAGTAGCAGTGATGATGATGATGATGATGATGATGCATTGTGGTTTGAAAATGTAAATATAGAAGCAAATGAGAAAAGGAGACAAATTCTAATAGTGAGAGTGATGAAGATATAGTTGATGTTCCCGCTAATCCAGAAGAACAAAAGAGCAGTGATAATGAAAACCTGGAGCCTCCTCTATCTACCTAAGTGTTTGATCTTGTGTTTGATATATGGATTGTGTTTGCAACTAAAATTTTTTTTAAAAACCATTCAATCACATGCAATTTAAACCAAAAGAAACCTTAAGACAGAAAAGAATGATAAGATAAAGTGTATGTGAGCAGTGCAGATAAGGAATATTGTCAATGGATAACCACACTTTTAAAAATGAAAGATCAAGCTAGTTTTCAAATTAGGGAATACAACTCAAACCACTCCTACTCTGAAACTTTTTAAGTTAAAAACATCAAATCAAAGTTGGTAAGTGAAAAATTCATAAGTCATATTCAATATGATCCTAAAAGAAGTGTCAAGAGATGGAGACTTGATGTTATTCACAACCTTAATGTGAATATGTTAACGGATTAGGCCTATAGGGATATGAAAATAGCCCTGGCAACTTGAGGGTCATCCTGATGATCAACATTCCCGATTGAGGGATTATAAAAAGGAGTTTAAAACCCTTAATCAACTATTATACTGGCCACTAAGAAGGTTGATGGTGAGGAGAGATTTAGCAAATTTTGTATTTGTTTTACTGTTCTCAAAGATGGGTTAAAAGATGGATATAGGCCAATTTGTTGGTATTGATGGATGTGTTTGCATACTAAAAGCTCGACTTCATTTACAAACTTATTTTATCATTTTGTTTTTTAATGATGTGATAACCCAGCCTCTCACTAAGTCTCTCGTTAATAAAATCCCAAAACTATGTGCCTATATGATATCCTTAAAATATAATTTTTTTTAAAGATAGCTAATTAAACTATTAACTTTGATTTAATTAAGTTAATAAGTTGAATACATATAGTTAAATGTGTAGGTTCAGTACATATAATATTCTAAATAATAATAATGGTAAGTGCATAATTTAAATAAAAATATGCGTATATAGGTGTGGGTTTATACTACATGCAAATAGTTTAATTAATAATAATTTATAGTAGGAATAATGTGTTCAATGTATGTAATAAAATCTCTACTACATATATATGAAGAAGTATGTGTTCTTCAATAGGCGACACGTGTCCGGTTTAGTGGTCTTAAAAAATTGACAAGTGTCTTGCTTTATTTACGATTTTGCCACTTATTTTGAACCGACTAAAACTGTCCTTCATTGGCTCTAGGCTCTAGCTTTTAGGGTTATGGTCATTTGTTTCTTACTTGTTAAGTTTTGCAAACTTCTGACTTGACCGACCAATCACTTCCCATCAAACCATCCCCCGGACGCAACAATCTCTTATCAGATTTTTTTGGTTTACGACGGACTTCTCTCTTTCATTTCTCTTTCCCTTTTCTTCTCTCTCCTTCTTTCTCCTACCTTACCTTCTCTTTTCGCAGCCAAAAATCTCCCAAATTCCTTGTTTAATTTCTTCTAATTACTTTCCATTTCCTTCTTTCAAATCTCTTCCACACCCATCATACATGCGCAACACTTTTCCAGCGGCGTCTGGCAGCCTGAAGAGGTGCCTTGGCTTCGGAAAGAACGACGGTCGTTGACCCCGTCTGATAGGGAGACCCGTTGACAGTACTGAGACAACTGAGACATAGTTTTTGTCAGAAGTCGCGGCGTGTACGAGAAAAAGCTCGAGGATTGTGCCAGCAGGATTCAGGACGAGATCAAGCAAGTCGACGCCTTAAAATGAGAGATGGATCTGTGCTTGCTTCTCCTTGCAATGGTTAGATCCTTGCACTTTTACCATTTATGTTATAATTTTTGCATAGTATGGTTTGTTTTGGCGTAGTTTTTGCATTAGACCCTTCAATTTTGCTCTTTTTCTCATGTTTCCCTTTAGGCTTGTTTTGTGAAACCCCTTATGTACTATTTTCATGTCTTGTGGTTCCTCTATGACACTAAGATTTGTTTTGAAATCTTGATAATTTTGAAGCTTTGAAAATTTTAGCACCAGTTGATATTGTAAGAATTTAGGGGATTTCTAGGGGGTAGGTTGATAATGAGAAATTGCTTGCTTTGAGTAGTGTTTCACTTGGGCGTTTCTTTTACTCAATAGAGGCGACCAAGTTATGGTGGTTTTGTGGCTACAACGACGACAACAGTAACTTCATTGAAAGGTATGTGTTTGTTTGTTTTGTTTTATTTGTTTTTTTTCAACCTTTTTTTTTTCTATGTTTTCGGTTTAAACAGGCTGCATGTTGGTCGCGATTATGGATGTTGCCGGTTACAGATGTCGCCGGAGCCTTATATTCTACATAGAGGTGAAAAAAAACCTGAGTTGTCTTAGGTAAGTGTTCTTTAAAAAAAAAAAAAGAAGAACTGATTAATTCTGAGTCAGCATGCATTTATCCGCTTTGAAATGATTTATTTTTTTGGCTTTTTGGTTTCAGTTTTGCAACTTTACTATGCAGATGCCTCAATTCCATTAAGAATGGTACTTCCAAGGAGAAGGTTATTGGCTTCTCATGCTCTGTGTTATTCTGTATGCTTTAGCAGCCAATTTGTATATGTTCACATAGAAGAAGGATAAAATGGGAAATGTTTTCTTACACATGAAAATAGGAACAATACTTATATTACATTTTAAGAGATGCTACTATAAGCTAAGTTAGCTGCAAACTTATATTTCATCTTTTTTATAATTATTGGCTTTGTCCTTAAAAAAAACAAAGAAAGTTGGCACTTGGCAGGTTTATCCTTCCATGTTGTGTGAGTGTATGTTACATGTTTATTCTGATATGAATGTAGAGAGTTCATGGCAGATAGTGTTGTTTGAATATTGAACTTAAGATCTTTTGCACAAAAATTGAAAATTTGATATGATAATTTATTTCTGAGTTATTGATATTTGATGGTTCACTTTGATTCTAATTGATGTCCTAGCTACTAAGAGCCAATGGTTATGGTGATTTTAATTTCAGCTTACCCTGTAGCTCACTTGTTGCTGATTATGTTAATATTTCTTCCCCCGATTTGGTATATTGGATTACAATTGATAAAACTATTTTCGCCTTCTGAAGATGTCAGACATGAATTATCATTTAAGTTAGTTTTTTTGCTTGTCAGAGGGGTTCTACAGTATCTTATAATGTTAACCTATAGTGACAGTCTTACTAATGAGAATGTCTCTTGTCTGGATTTGTTATTTCACATTGCCTGATTCTGTAGTTTTAGTTTAGTGCACTGGTCGTGCTAATTGTCGGAATAGGAGCTTTTCTGTGGCGGGCAGGCCGAGTTATTGTTCACAGCAATTTAAGATTGAGGTTTTATGTGTCCTCAGTAAGGTTGGTACCATGATTTTGTTATATTAATCAGGAAAAAGATATTTGAATTATAAAAAATTAAATAAAATATTGTAATACTCAAAAAAATAGCTAAAAGGATTTTTTATTCAAAATTGAGGTTTTTTGCGTCTGACTATGAGGAAGAGTGCCCATTGGCTTGAAGAGAGAAAGTAAGGCGGCAGATTCAGGCCCCGTAAACGACGTAGATCTGGAGGGGGAGGAGGGGCCGTGGGGAGAAGGTCAAACCCAAACTGGTTGCCAAGTTTCCCGTGGAGCAGCATGACCCCTATCGGGAGGTAACTCTTGTTGTTTGAGCTAAGGATTTTTCTTTTTTAATTTGTGGAGGATGTTAGAGATGCTAACTAGGTGTTTGACGTAATGTGGCCTCAAGTTTAGTGTTTAGGCGTGTTATTTTGATTTGTTTCTATTGGATGTTGTCAATCTAATTGCATTATGAAATTTTGTAATGGTATTGCGTCACACATTTCTCATTTTGTTATGTTTGGAGCAAGGTATTGATATTTTGTCACTACTTCTTAATGATAATTGTTGTGCGTGTTTGAATGCGTTTTTAGGTCACTGTTGTAAGTTTTAGTTGATGTTTTATTATTGCGGATACTGGAATGTTTTTCTCGTTTATCTTGAATATTGACTACCTGTGTTTTTTTTTTTTTTCAAGATACATTTACATCCTGCAACAATCTCTCCGGGAAAAAAAGGTGAATGAATCAACTTGATTTTGTTTTTAAAAAATTCTGAAAGCTTTTCAAAGAACTTCCAGTCCATTTTCATGATAATATGTGTGACAATTTATGAGTTAATTTATCAATTTTTTTAATACTTCATGGACTGCTCGGCCGTCCTCCACCGCCTTATCAGCTTCGGCATGCCTGCCACCGTCGAGACCAGAAAGGGTAGGATTACACTTGATGATAAGCCCAAGGAAGACCATAAATTGTACTCCTTGTGGGATGATTGCAGCTCTGGGGAAAGACGGGTTGGGACATATTGCTGCACCAAAGCCTAAATTTCCAGGTGACTTGCTTATGTAATGACAGTATATTCTTATGTTATATTTACATGTGCTTATCTGTTGCTAATAATATTTTCATTTCATTTAATTTTGAGGATTGTCTTTTTTTTTTTTCTGATGTAAATTAATCTCAGGCCATGAGGAATCTTACAACCCTTCTCCAGAATACATCACAACAACAGAAGAAATAAACTCTTACAAGTTCATGTTTGAGGAAGACCGACCTAAGTTTATTCAGAAACAGTAACCACCTGTCCTATTTTATCCTTTTATATTTATGATCTTTTTTTTCTTGGGAATTTGATCCACCTTAGGAGTTTGATACACTAATCTATCCTGTTCGTCTACAAATCAGCAGACCGCGCTCATGACCGCCGACAGCCGGCAGTTTCGGGTGAATAGCGGTTGAGCGACTACAATGTACAGTGGCCGGCGGCTCTGTGACAGAGGTGGCGTATTACAACTGCAGCCCGGCGACGGAGAGCATCGAGCGGCTCTGCATTTGACAGCCTTTGAAGTCCGTTGGAGCACGGCGACGATGTACTGAAGCAGGTCTGTACCTCACTTTCCTCTTTGCTGAATAACTTGCTTTCAATGCTCTATAGACTTTCCTCGAACAAAAAGGTATTCAGGTCCAATCCATAATCCCTCAAATTACAATAATCTAAACAGGTTTGGTATTTTAGTTTTGTTCGCTGAGTTTTGATCTACACGCATGTCAGACCTGCTTGAGTTCTCTCATGCTATGGATATGTGATTTCGTATGGCCATTTGAAGTGATTGATGGGGGTTTAATGGATAACTGATTGGTGTTGTTTTATTGTCGTTGCTGTATATGGTTTACATGCATTTTTTGTTTGAATTCGTTGTTTTGGATTGCTGGTGTTTTGAGTACTAATTTCGGTGTACTCTACTATAATTTGAAGCAGTATATTAGGCATAGATAGAAATATTTTTACAACTCTAATTAGCACAAAGAATACTATGTTCATTGTATAACAAACAAGAGCACAAAGTCCCTGTTGGCTTTCATGTGTTTCTTTTCAAATTTTTAGGATGGATGTAATGAAAGTGTAACTAAAACAAAGGGAAACTCTCGGGTATATCTCTGTTGATTCCGACATGTTCTACAGCTGAGTTCTGATACTTTCATTTTTCACCCACATGGAAGATTGGAACTTTTTTATTTACTGGTTTTTGTACTGTTTTTTCTTCGCTCTTTTCCTGGTTTGGCATGTACTGGAGGAGGCCTACTGGTGATTCAGCACATAAAGTTGATACTTTTAATTTTTTTGTTGCAGGTTTAGATGGAATATGATGTCTGTTTGTGAGTAAAAGTGGAACATGGCCATTGTAATTGTTACTACAATTTTTGGGTTTGTGTTCTTTTCTTGGATCAATGTGAGTAAAGATCTCATCTTTTGTACATTCTTATTGTTCTTTATTTACCTTTAATAAGATTCGATTTGATGTTTGATATTTATTTATTTTTTCATTCCAGTCTTATAGCTCTTTTTGTAATCAAAACGAGGTGGTGCAAGAACCTTACCTTGTGTGGGTGACTGATGATGGCTCGGGGTAAATTATGGTGATGTGGCCAAGAGGATTGAGGCAATTAGAGTTCCACGCAGCATCAGACCTAGATTAGATTAGAAAATCGGTTGGGACATGGTGAATGGTGTGAATTTGAACAGAAATACCATTGGGTGGCGTTGGCGCCAACAAGGAGGCTTACATGGGTGCGCGCCACTGACTCGGGGCGGTCGTGGATGAGGGTTCCATGTCCCATTCTGGTCCTTGACTACAGCTGATCGTTGGGGGTAGACAAAATCAGGAGGTATTTTTCGTGTAGAATGAGAGGAACAACCAAAACGTCGCAACAAAAATTGATTCTTGGTTTATAGTTTAGCAATGTACACGAATTCTGGGACTTCAAATCTTCTGTGAAATTTTGTGGAGTTTATCCAAAAAGAAAAAATGAAAACAAGATGTGTATTATATAAACTAGATGGATGATTAGGCTTTCAGCTCTATTTTGTTTAGTAATTTTTTGAATTTTAATATTAATATTTTGGGGAAGAAATTGGAGCATTTGTTTGGCTAAAAAAGACATGTATATGATTCAAATAACGAAAGCTACCCATCATCGTTAGAACCATATAGTGGTGTTCCATACGACACATACGTGGTACCCGCTTTAGCTAATAAAAGCAGTCATATGCATCATACAGGTCAATTTCAACAATGTTTAGTCATTTTTTTGCTTCCAATCTTATGCTTCTTTATATACATGTAGTTTCCTGATTATGTGATCTGTAATGATTTTAAATTTTGAGGAGCTCAAAGTTGACCCATCTGCTCCAAGATTCGTTAGGTAATTTACGTTGATTGTACACTTAATGGCATAGCTATGAGGTTTCAAGATTTTTAATTTAACTACTTTAATAGGCTGCCACTCACAAATGTTGATGTTTGTACATATTAGCCCCTCCGATCAAAGACCAGGGTGAAACATTGAGTTCTCTATATTTTGCTACCCGTGTCAGAGGGTTCGACTTGGGTCCCGCTGGAATACAGATAGAAACGAGTGAGCTAAAAAAAAAAACAAAAGTATTGTTAATCTTGAGACAATTGTCAACTAAACAGGTATAATATATGTAAAGAGCTGCAACAACAACTGCGTAAAGAGCTGCAACAACAACTGAGCTGCAACAATCGCCTATAAAGCTGTGTAATAAGGCCTTTATGGTGAAAGCTTATTTTGTTAACAACCAATGTTAAAATTGAAAATGAATTCGGCTGATCATTGCAAGTGATGATAACTTTTACTATTTTTGTAGACTAAATTTGAGTCCGCCGTGCGTGCACGGCGTGAGCCAACTAGTGTATAATATATATATAAGTAAGCATATATATATCAGAATTTTCAATGACTCTTTGATAATGAAACAGATTTGGAGGTTGTTGACAAAGCCAAATTCATTGATGACAAGGGTGCTGAAGGAGAAATATTTTCCATCTGGATGTGTGTTGGATGCAAAACCTAATCTGTCAGCCTCTTGGCTCTGGAATTCATGGGTGAAAGTCCTATCAATCTATAAAAAGGACATCAGAAGGACAGTCAGAGATGGCTTGAATACCAAAATCCTAGCCCATCCATGGGTGATTGATCTTCCAACAGGTATACATGCTCTTAAATCTGAAGTGTCAAGTTTACAGCTGACTTGGGTCAAAGAATTAATGTATGTCGATGGAAGATCATGGAATAGGAGTTTGATTCAGTCTCTTTTTACTGATGAATCCTGTAATGCTATACTGAAAATGAAGGACTTGAATCCAGCTGAAAATGATAGATGGGTGTGGTCTGCAGATACCAAAGGAAAGTTTACAGTGAGTTCTGCTTATTCAGCTGCAATCAAAGAGAAAATATTGAGGATGGACTGGCCTTGCAGTAGCTCAAATGTTCTTAAGGACAAAAAGGCAAGGATGAGATGCTGGAACTTAAAAGTGAAAGGCAAAATCAAACATTATGTATGGAGATGCTTTACCAATAGCCTGCCTGTGAGTGCTAATCTTGTGAGCAGAGGGGTCCAGTTAGACACAATCTGTCAATGCTGTGGAGAGCAACAAGAAACTGTGGAGCACTTACTGTTTTCATGCAAGAGGGCTGCCCAGGTTTGGAAAATAGCTCCATTGTTTTGGGATCCTACAACAGTGCCTACTACAAACTTCAGAAGCTGGTGGTGGTCTGTGGTAGAAGTTGACAATTCTCCAATTTCCGAAGCCCGTATACAACTATCAACGTACATTTTATGGTGGCTTTGGAAATCGCGAAACTTATGGGTGTTCCAAAAGCTATGGATGCCTGCGGCTGTGATCATGCGGAAAGCTACAAATGAATGGTCTGAATTCTGTTTGTTAGGTTCTTAGATTGTTGTGTGTCTTGGAGGTTAGGTTCTTATGTTCAGTGGCCTCCTTTTTAGTAGTGTATTTTGTATTTTTATGTCCTTGTTTGTGGGTGTTTGCTATGTACTAAGGTCTCAAATCTTTGTATTTGCCTTTAGTGCGATGTGCTTCTTTTTTGTAGACCACCATGTGGTGTGGTTCTCCCTGTTATTGTATGGACTTGTAAGAGCTAGTGAGCTCTTCGATTTGTACTCTTTTTCAGTTGGTATGAGATTGTTCTATCGTTTGGGACAAAAAAAAAAGCATATACATAAGATGTTTGATAAAACTATAAATATTAAAATACGTAATGATGCACATATAAGCTTACATGAAATAGTTAGTGTTTAAGGGGTGGATAATAAATTAGTATATAATCCCTAGCATATGTTTTATTTTAGTATGCTGAATGAATGTATGAGTAATTAATAAAATAGTAGGTCAAGCTTGTCTATTCAAGAGTTATTGAAATTGAGTCCCACATCGAATAACCAAGGAAAGTAAAGCCTCACTATTGTATATAAATAATCATTGCAAGTAATTTTTCCCACATCAGAACTCAAACAAAATTTCCGCCGCCTTCACACATATATAAACCTCACTATTATATGGAACTAATAATATCTATAGCCGTATAATAATAATAAAATTAATAATAACAATAAGGATTCCTTTTAATCAGGAAACCTTAAGTTTAAAAGGTCGGCATATTACGTGGAGTCAAGTTATCAAGTATTTTCTTAGAAGGTCAAGCTAAAGATCCAGGTAAGTAAAAGTTCATTTTTAACATCTCAAGTATTTTCTTATAAGGTCAAGCTAAGGACCCAGGTAAGTAAAAGTTCATTTTTAACTACAATGCATAAACTGAGTATTTATATACTCGATTATGTGACTATGTGAAGAGTGATTATATGTGAAATTAATGTTAATATGTATTTATGTTGCTAATTGATACTTGTATGTGAAATTAATGTTAATATGTATTTATGATGCTAATTGATATTTGTATATGAAATTAATGTTAATGTGTATTTATATTGTTAGTGGATATGTGATATTTGTCCTTGTTATTGGGCATGACATATATTTCATGAGCATGTGCATGCATATGTCATAATCAGATAGAATATATCTCATGTGCTTATTGAACCCTAGCTCATATAGTTTATGCATTGTAGGTGAGCATGTTGATATCTGATGATCAGTGTTAAGGCTTGACCGTGCTGTTGGATCCAGAAAGTTTTGAGGACGTGTACATGGATGACGACCTGTTGGGCTGGCAGAGAGCTTCCGTCCTTTTTGTAGTTTGGGTTCATTTTGAGAATTTTAATATATGTAAAAATATGCAAACTGTTTTTATTTATGGATCCTTTTGAGATGTACAAATGATATTATCCGCATTGTTTTGACACTCTTTTGACTAGTATAAATAATATTATTTGAGTTGTTTTGACAAATAAATCTGGATTTTAATAAGTTACTTTGAGATAAACATGACGCGTATTTAAAAATATGAGAATATTTAGCAATAGAAGAGCGGGCGTGAGAGAGTGGTATCAGAGCCCAGGCTGGAGGTCCTGTAGACTGTCCTTGTACATGACTCAAACTTATGAAGCATAACAGTACCGGTAATCTTTTATTACTATGTTTGTTATTTATTTTAATACATTTCGTGGCTTTATAGTGCTAGGTGGTGTGTAATAATATAACTATGACAAGAACTCGAAGCGAAGGTAGCGGTGGTTCTAATAGAAGGGAAGGTGCAGCAACATCTAACCCTAGGGATAGTCGTGATACTACTATTGAACGATTAACTGAGTTGGTAGGATGGCAATCCCAACTGATTCAGCAACTTATTGAACAAAGAGACGCAAATAGACATCTTGGAGGTGCCGGAAATCCTATATTGCCGCAAGCCGGACAAATTGAGATCATGGGACAAAGGTTTCGAAAATTAAGTCCACCGATGTTCGAGGATGCTACAGATCCGATAGAAGCAGAAGATTGGTTGAGAATGGTGGACAATATGTTCCAATATAGCAGAGTCTCTGAGGGGTAAAAAGTTTTGTGTGCCTCTTTTATGTTACGTGGTAGTGCCGGACATTGGTGGGATACAATCAAGTGCATCGAAGATATGACTTCCATGACTTGGGATCGATTTAAGGAACTATTCAGAAACAAATATTTTACAGCTCCTGTATGTGCGATGAAAATGAATGCATTTATACAATTACGACAGGGTAACATGACCGTCGCAGACTACATCCGCAAGTTTGAGCAACTCTCAAGGTTTGCCGAACATATGGTCAGCACAAAAGCATTAAAGACGAAAAGATTTCTTGAAGGCCTAAAACCTGAACTCTACCGAGATGTTTGCATGGCAGGAATTCGTGGATCAAATTACTCACAAGTTGTTGAGCGAGCACTAATTGCTGAACAAGCTGAACAGAATATAAGAAATGCATAAGAGGTGAGACGTCAACTTACACAAAGCCAAGGGTCACGTTGGACTGGAAATGAGAAGAAAAGGCCAGCACAATTTCAAAACCAAAAACCTTATTTTCAACAATGGCAACAGCAAGAGCAAGGAGATACCAACAAACGTGTCAGGTATGACCAAGGGAAAGCATCAGTACTGCCACGTACCTGTCTAAAATGTGGAAAGAAACACAGTGGAGAATGTTTGAGGGGAATGGGAGCATGCTATGCGTGTGGACAACCTAGTCATATGGAAAATGTGTGCCTCAATCGTTCGAAACCAAATCTCCAGGAAAGAACACCAGCCAAAATATTTACCATGACTCGTGAAGACGCTGAGGCGAATCCGGGTGGTCACAGGTAACCTATTAATATCTTGAGTATCTACATTTGCATTATTTGATTCTGAAGCCACGCATTCATTTGCATCCACTGAGTATGTAAAAAGGTTGGGTAGAAATCCTAACAGAACAAAAATAAATTACAATGTCATAATGTCATCTGGAGAGACAAAAACAGACTGATCAAATTTTACAAACATGTAGTATCTCTATTGACGGGAGATAATTGTATGTTGATCTGATCATAATAGACATGCATGATTACGATGTAATATTGGGAATGGATTGACTGTCATAGTACAACGCCACAATTGACTGTCGAAAGAAGATAGTATCATTTCAACCACCTAGTGAAAAATCATTTTCTTTTATTGGCGTAAGTACCCACCCGAGCTTTCAAGTAATATCGGCAGTAAAGGCACAACGACACTAAACAGTGGTTGCACGGGCTATTTAGTAAGCACAATGAGCATTGAGAAACAAGAAAACCTAAACGTTAAAGAAGTGCCAGTAGTAAAAGAATATCCTGATGTATTCCCTGAAGATCTTCCAGGATTACCCCCAGATTGTGAAATAGAATTTGTAACTGATATACATCCAGGAACGGCTCTGATATCCAAATCACTATATAGAATGTCACCTGCTGAATTGAAGGAGTTTAAAGTACAGCTACAAGAACTCTTGGATAAAGGATTTATCAAACCCAGTTTCTCATCTTGGGGAGCATCAATTTTGTTTGTCCGTAAGAAAGATGGCACATTGAGAATGTGTATTGATTACCAAGAGATGAATAAGGTCACAATCAAGAACAAGTATCCTTTACCAAGAATCGATGATTTGTTTGACCAACTTCAAGGTGCAACAACATTTTCTTTTGATTTGCGCTCAGGATATCATCAGTTGAAGGTAAAAGAAGAAGATATTCCTAAGACAGCCTTTAGCACGAGGTACGGTCATTATGAATTTTTGGTAATGCCGTTTGGCTTGAAAAATGCTCCAGCTGCTTTCATGGACTTAATGAATAGGGTATTTAAGGATTTCTTAGATAAGTTTGTGATTGTATTTATCGACGATATCCTTATATACTCTAAAAAAAAAGAAGAACATGCCGAACATTTAAAGTGCTCGAGGTGCTGAAAGCAAATTAGTTATATGCAAAGTTTAAGAATGTGAGTTTTGGTTGGACCGAGTGGTGTTCCTTGGACATGTTATTTCTGGAGAAGGGATCTCAGTTGACCCGAGGAAAGTGGAAGCTGTTGAAAAATGGCCCCAACCAACTAACCCTTCGGAGGTGCGAAGTTTTCTTGGACTAGCAGGATAAAGATGATATGGGATATTATATATATCTGAAGAATAAACCGGTTTACTATACTGGTGGTATGAGCTCGATATCGAGAAAACCGCGTTGGTCGAGCAATAAATGGCTGAAAGGAGGTGATTTAGCAGGATAGCAGATCTGGTCGATGATCGACCTAGCGAATGCGGGCTCAGTCAGATCGAGCACTCGACGGGTGAAGAGCAATCGAGGGCGTGGTTTGAACACGAGAAAGCGCGTGGACTTCATCAGAAAATCCCAAAGGAATATTTAGGAGAATAATCACCCTCTGCTCAGAGGGGCACGTGGCGAGAGCATATTGGTGCAGAGCGATAATGGCGATAATCACCTCTGACATACACACACTGTGTGTGTACATACAGGCAGTGCTGAGAGGACAGCTCATCAGATCCGGGCAGCTCCTAGGGCAGGTATCTCACTCCTATATATATAGAAGTGAGCCTTTCTTGTTACTTACGATTGATCCATTTCTTACTTTGGAGAATTGAGTGAAACACATACTTACTTAAGCATCGGAGGCTCTTCACCGGAAAAACCCCCCGGTGTGAAGTTTCTTTGCAGGTACGCGGCATTCTACCAGCAAGGAGAAAAAAGACGAGTCGATTCCAAGCCGGTCGGAGTGTTTTGCGTTACCATTTGGTGCCGTCTGTGGGACTTTCTTTCGAAAAGTGGTGTGCTGAGATTACTGAAGCTTGGTAGCTATGGGGGACGGAATTCTTAGGAGAGATTTGCAATCGTCGTTCGATGAGGCATGGACGACGACGAGGCCGTTTGGAG